TATTGAGATTTACTGGGAAGAACCCCAGGTGGCGGGTGGAGATGGGACCGAGGTCTCTCCACCGATATTGCAGGGAATTGGGAGCCCGAGCTCCATTCCCCAGCAGGAGATATTGCAGGGAATTGGGAGCCTGAGCTCCATTCCCCAGCGGCAGGCTGAGTTACAGGGGGCAGAGACAAGTGGTCCTGTCCCCCAGCGGCAGTGTTCCTTGCAGGGAGAGGAGAGCAGCGTACTCCCTCCCCAGTGGCAGGGTGAGCCACAGGGATGCTGGGCAGTCGGCTCAGGTCCCCAGCGGCAGTATGTTTTGGGAATTGGGAGCCCAGTCTCCATTCCCCAGCAGCAGTATGATGTTTTGGGAATTGGGAGCCCAGTCTCCATTCCCCAGCGGCAGCACAGATTATTGGGAATTGGGAGCCCCGTCTCCATTCCCCAGCGGGAGATAAAACAGGGAAGTGGGAGCCCAGTCTCCATTCCCCAGCGGCAGATTGTCCTACCGGGAATAGAGAGCCCAGTCTCCTTTCCCCAGCAGCAGGACTCTGTATTGGGAGCAGAAACAGTCGGTCTCCCTACCCCGCGGCTGGAAGTATATATGGGAGAGGAGCTTGTTACCCCCTCTCCCCAGCGGCAGCTTAATGTACCAGGGGGAGACAGTAAGCCCCACAACTGTGCAGATGGGACCGTGGTCTCTGCATGTCCAGCACAGGGGGTAGGGACGGTTGGTTCTGCCCCCAGCAACAGGGCTGTTTAGCCAAAGGGGAGACAATCGGTCTCCAGCAGCAGAGCTGTGTAACCAAAGGGGAGACAGTCGGTCTCCAGCAGCAGGACGGTATATCTAAAGGGGAGACAGTCGGTCTCCAGCAGCAGGACTGTGTATCTAAAGGGGAGACAGTCAGTCTCCAGCAGCAGGGCGGTGTGTCTAAAGGGGAGACCGTCGGTCTCCCCCTCCAACAACCAGGCTTCAACCAGGCTACCCTCCCAACACGCAGCAACCCACCAAGTCAGCGTACCCGTACCCAGCACAGCCGTGGTGAGGCACCTGGACATGGACAAGCTTCTCCTCTACCCAGGTGCAGTAACCATTTATTGTGGGTGGGCTGTGCTGATGATTGTGTTTTGTGGGTGGGCTGCTGGACTAACAAGGGCACTGACCGGCAGGAGGTCAGATACCCTGTTAGTCTGTTTGGAAAAGGGGAGAGATGTGACAAGACCAATCTCGCCACATTGCATTGGAGAAGCCTGGTTGCTCGCCTGCTGCCTCTGGACTATGGCCCCCTGTTAAAAGACTTTGTTTCGCCTGCAGAAAAGCTGTATTCGTGTGGTCTGAGCGCCATTCACTTAATGTGCGCTCAGACCTGAGCTATCTGGGGATATGTTAAATGTATAGTTTTAATGTAATGTGTCTTACCTGGTGTATTTTAACAGTAATGCTTGTTTTAGTACCCCCATGTGCATAATGGAGATTTGCCTTTGTCTTGGGAGATAATTGAATTACTTCTCAGTTATCTCCCAGGGCAAAGGGGAGGAAGCCAGGATGCATTGTGGGAATATACTGTGACTGTGTGTCCTATTTGTCTGTCCCTTGTCACAGTCTCCCATTTGGTCCCCTAGGGGAGTGTCCACCAGGTGGGAGACCTGCATAAATACTGGGCAGGTAGCCCTCATTAAACAGACCACTGCTTGACCCTCAACACGGAGCTCTGTCTCGTCTTTGGGGGGGGGATTTACTGTATGCTGATAGAGACTGATTGCCAGGAGTGTAAGCCGCTTGGGTGCTTTTCCTGTTCGTCTGCTAGCAGCTATTTGTGAGGTTCCAGTTCGAGTGTTTGGAGCATTCCCTTGTATGCAGTTTGAATGTTTGAAGCATTCCCTTGTATGCAGTTCGGGTGTTTGGAGCATTCACTTATTGGCGGTTCGTGTGTTTGGTGTTCTGCAGTAGCTGTGCCTGCATCTCTGGAAAGGGGGCCAATCGCCTAAACGGTTTTTACCCATTTTGTGCAAAACGGTCCGTTACAACAACAAATTAGGCAGAAATATGCAAAGTCAATCTGCAGTTGCTAAGGCCAGTAAGGTTTTGTCATGTATAAATAGGGGCATAAATTATCGGGATGAAAATAATTTTGCCTCTTTATAAATCGCTGGTAAGACCACACCTTGAATATGCTGTGCAATTTTGGGCGCCTGTTCTAAAGAAAGATTATGGCACTAGAAAAAGTGCAGAGACAAGCTACAAAATTGATAAAAGGAATGGAGCATTTTAGTTATGAAGAAAGCTTAAAAAAATGTAAATCTCTTTAGTTTGGAAAAACGGCACCTCAGATGGGATATGATAACATTATACAAATATATTCTGGGCCAGTACAAACCATTATCTGGAAATCTATTTATAAACAGGGCTATACATAGGACACGAGGTCACACATTTAGGATGGAAGAAAGGAGATTTCATCTAAGGCAAAGAAAGGTTTGTTTACAGTAAGAGCAATAAGGATATGGAATTCTCTGCATGAAGAGGTGGTTTTGTCAGTCATTACAGATGTTTAAACTGCAATTGGATACATACTTGCAAAATCATAACATACACGGATATAATTTCTAATTAGTGGGGTAATAGCTGATTGATTTAAGGAAACATCTGACTGCTATTTTGGGGTCAAGAAGGAACTTTTTCCTAGTTTGTTGCAAAATTGGAAGCGCTACAGACTAGGTTTTTTGCCTTCTTTTGGATCAACAGCAAAAACATATGTGAGGAAGGCTGAACTTGATGGATGCAAGTCTCTTTTCAGCTATGTAACTATGTACAGTAAAATGATTTCCTTAAATAGGTACTATAAATGCTTATCCTAGAGTGTATATGTCTCCCAGAATCTCTCACACAGAAGCAATGCTTTCCTTTGGGGAGGGCCTAATGTGCTTGTTGCACTCTCAGCACAGTGCAGATGACATCGGAGGGGGCTGAGTGGCGATCCAGTGCCAATGTAGATCAGTGCTGGAATCGGGTAAGTACACAAAGTTTTTAACCCTTTCCATGCCGGATGGAGTGGTTAGAGGGACCTATAATGTAAGGAATACAACAATGTATTCCTTACACTACAGAAATACCTTTAAACAATTCACAACCCAGTCCTTAAAGTGAACCACAAGTCCAGGTTTTGTCAGTATCTCCATAGGAAGAGAATTGTGGAAATCCATAATCATGGACCGTTGAGGTATCTTGAACCATTAAATACCAAGAAATAGGATTCTGACTATTTGCTGCTTTGATTGAATCAGTTTCTGGAAGAAGGAAAAACAAATAAATAAAGCCCTGCTTTAAAATTAGTGTGTGAAGTTTATACCTAGTTGATATTTACTAAATTGCTATTAAAAGAGAAGTGCAAGGGAATATTATGCATTTTAGACCATGATAACTTTAATTCTCGCTTTAGAGAATACCACTAATAGTATTTTTATTGTGCCAGTTAAGTTTGGTTTTCTTTTGAGGCTGTACTTTGATGGGAAGTGTCAGTCTGCTCCGGTCTGTGAGCTTTGACTTGTGGTTATATACTGATGCTGCCTAAACTCCAGAAAATTAATGCAGGACAGGCTATGCCTGAACCTATATTCTCTTGTCAGAACCAGACAATAACAGAAGAGCGCCACAAAGAACACCCCCCCGCTCTCAAATCTTAAAGGGACACAGTCACTTCTCACAATTAATTGAAACAACCAATAAACATTTTAGTTTTCTTTTAACTTTATAGAAAATGAACATTCCAAGAACCATAATCAAATCTTCACACTAGAAGGGTTATGTTGTTAAAGTACCCTGGAAATCCCACCCCGCCACCAATGTAAGAAGCCAAACTACTAACTTCTTACCTGGGGTCCCATAGTCCCCAGTCTCTGCCTCTCCTCCTGTATGGAGAGCCGGAAGCTCCCGCTAAGCTCACTTGATGAGGGCATCAGAGACTGTCACCCAGCAGATCCCAGGTTAGAAGTCAAACCATTCTTCTAAAACTATTTGCTTATTGGGGAAGGGGGGGCACTTCTGGTACTGCACTACACAGTAGTTATGGTTCTTGCAGTGTTTTAATAGAACTTTAAAAATGAGATAATCCAGAGTAAGCATTGACACACACTGAATTAGAGGATAAAGAAAAAATGGTTTCGCTTTCTATATTTCAAGTTTGGCAACTTTGGCCACTCCAGATGTTGTGGACTGCATCTCCCCGGTGCTTTTCCAGCAATATGGTTATTATAGCACATAAAAATATGTAGTCCACAACATGTGCAGTGCTAAAGGTCGCCTATCCCTGCTCGAAATGCTAAACGAAATGTAGAAAGGGCAGATCTTATAACAAAAATGGACAAAGAGCCAAGATGTTGGAGCTCCGTTCCAGGACAGAGGTAGATACAGAGCTGGGAAATTCTACATTTAATATGGGTTTTAAGATCTACAAACACATTTAATATAGGGTAATGGTGAGCATTAAAGCCTTCAAAAGGGATGATTCTCCTTTAAAATTAAGTTCTACCACAAGTTATCTACTGTGCCCACGAAGGACAGTGCAAAGCTTTTATCATTGTAGTAAAGTTGATACCAGTTTAGAAATGCATTTCAACACAAAAAACGATAAATCCACTCAAACATGTACCAAATTACAACAACTTTATTTTGTGCGTTGCAATTGTTTGTGGAAAGTTGGACAACTTTTACAAACGATTTGAATGCAAACAGCCTAAATGGATGCGGTTTACATGTCACAGTGAAGATTCTCTGCTTGGTCATTTAAAGTCACCCTCGCCCACACTGATTGTAGGAGTGGAAACTCATAGTTAGTACATTGCTATTATTCCAACAACTTTACAAATATCAAACATGTTAAAAAGGCCCAACGAATGCATTTAAAAACCTTAAAACATTAAATTTAAAAAAAATGTATATAAAACGTTTAGTGTTATTTTGTGGTAATGACAAATGTGCAGTAGGCAACTGCCAGGTCATTGTGCAAGAAAAGTCTTTAGAGCAAGACAAACTCCTCCGTGCTAAATCTTTTTAATCTTTTATTTTCGTCGTCAGTGAAAAGGTCATTTTGTTCGTAGACGGGAGAGCAGACAAGATCAAAATCCCGAGCACGGCCATTTACAAAGGTAAATAAAGGATAATTTGGCCTGGTTGCAGATTTCAGTACCTAGAGAGAGAGAGAGAGAGAGAGAGAGAGATCACTAGATGCAAAGACAATATGTTTACAACCCTGTATGCGATCTAAGATATTAAATTTCAAACAGTTTACCAGATGTGTGATGTCTCTCATGGAACCATAATGGCAAAAAGTTGACTGGAACTTAGTATTTTGTAAAGAGGAAGCAAGATTTTTTTGCCTGAACATTAATGAAACTGATCCCATGAAAAGGAGAACTTCAAAGTATTTAGCATTGAAAAAGGAGGTACTACAGAGACAAGATTATCTTAGCCAAAAATCATGAACTCTGAACCTTCAAAATGTGGGTTTTTTTACCCAGTCATGACTTTAAAAAAAAAAACAAAAAAAAACAAAGACTCCATGTTTGGATGTCAAGAATCCAATAAAGAAAAAAAAAAAAGAAAAGAAAAAGATTGAAAATAGAAACACAAAACCCTTTTATTTTTTTGTAAAATGATTTGTCTTAAACATCTATGAACATTCCCTTGGGAGTTGCAAGAGTTTAAAGTGATCATGTGTCTTCCATAATGCAATTTCATTCATTGTTCCTTCCGGTTTTATTAAAACTAATCCTTGGCCTATTCATTTCTCATACATTAGCCAGTCCAGAAGTGATCTGCCTGTTCATGGCACAAAGACTGAGGGCAGCAGCACCCAGTGTTCTGAACCCTTGGGCAACGCAACCAGAGCTGTGTTTAAAGTTTAGAAACTAAATTTAACCAAGCCCAATTATTGGAGTACGGCATGTCATACAGATGTTTATATTGACTGGAAGGGGGGTGAGCTGGATGCCATTAAATGAATGATTGGTTAATAAAGAGCAGAAGTGAGAGGAATTACAAGAAGCTTGTACATAACAGGTGGAATCCGACTGATGTAATCTTTTTACCCAGTACTTGACCTTTGTAATATCAAAATAATAATAAAGTAGAGCGCCCAGCATAAGGAAAATGTCCTATGAGAAGGAGCTTTCAGTCAAGTTAAAAAAGTTACTTTTTATTGACAAGTTAAATCAAAAAGTATTGTGACACTCATCTGGCAAGAAAGTTTCCAACACAATGAAAACTAGCGTCTTCAAAGGTAGTGCAGGGTATATTAGGATTGTCTGATTACAGAAACCGTTGTCTACATTTTTTTTGTTTAATTTAGAATGTGGGATACACCTGCAGTAGCCAATCACAAGCCAATACTACCGGGGTAAACAAACTGATTGGAAAACAGATTTCAAACTAATTTAAATTGGGAGGTTCTAAAAAGTATATGTATATTTAGATTTAAATATTGCTTCCTAAATAAATGGTTGTATTAGATACAGAATCAAAAGCAGTCTATATTTTTATATGGTGCTAATCTAAGTAAATTAATCTGTTGAGCTCTGTACCTTCTAAAAACATTACACCAAATATGTTATTAGACTTTTGCTATTTCAAGAGCGCCACCTTCTGGAATTAGCAAAGATTGCAGTTTAAAAGTTTTACACTGCTATAAAGCTACAAAACTCATATATATGTACTTTAAGAAAAGAAAGATGCACACACAAAAAAATAATCAATAAATGTAAATTATAAAATATTATGCACATCAAGGTTAAATCTGCATTAACATGAGATTGTTATTTTTTTTATTTTTAGGAAATTTTAACCAACACCAATTAGTACATTACTTCTACAAAACGTGTTAGTTGGTAGTAGTAATTTACTAATTGGTGCTATATTATTTTAACAAAAATAATATTGCGCATAACATATTAAAGTGGAACAGTCACGGTATATGGGGGGGCGGGGCCTGACTGTCAAGCAGCAAAGACGCATCTTGCATGAGCTCCTCACTATCATTGCTGAAAAAGAGCCTTTTAGCCAAAATTAACCCGAGACAAAACCCAGCTAAAGCCTCACCTACCTTAGCACGGAGCAACAAGAAACTACCGAGGACAGAAGCTGCACCGAAGTCAACGAGCGGCACACGTGGAGCCATGCGGCCCGCTGACCACCAGGCGGGAGAGATGGCCGACCTCCCAGCCCTAAGCGGCACATCATGTAGAGCAGGTACCCTGCAACCCCCCCCCGGACCGATGGGGGTAATCCCGGTCTAACCCTGGGGAACTACTCTGACCCACACCGCACGAGGAACAGCGGGGCTATAACTAAGAGCACGTCTGCCAACACAGCCAACATGGCGGACGCCACGAGGAACATAGACACTACAGCAATATGGGCGGACATAGAGGTCAGACTGGACAGAGCCTTCACAACATTCTGGAGTAAACTGGAAGAGAGGCTGCAGTTCCAGGCTCAACAGCATCCAAACAAGCACTCACCTTCACCGGCGCCACCAAACAAGCGACTAAACAGTCGATGGACACCTGCAATCCTGGCACGGATGAAGAGCCCAAAATGGCCGCGAGGCGGGAAATACCCAGCACACCGGCTGAGAGCAGCTCACAAAGCACAGCCACTCAAACCCAAGCCACGAACCAGTGGAACACCCGCAGTAACTGATGGAACACAAGCACAATGGGTACTCACCCCTCCAGGTACCACCGCTATACAGCCCACAGCCTGGCCAGCCTCCCACCACTCTTCTGGGCAGAGGGCCCGCCTGTACCGTTCCAAGCAGAGACGCAACCATGAATCAGGCTGGGGGACCCACAGTCAGACGGCAACACAAAACGACAAGCTGGAAGCTCTCCAACGGCTGACATACCAGCCAGGCACTTCATCGCTGGGACTCAAGAAATTGGGCAGGCTGACCGGCTGCGCCGCGTGGGACTCTAACATGCCCCTGAAAGGCATTGGCTGACGGACACCTGGACTAACCACATGTGAGGCACCAGTTATACTCACAGGCAAACGCCAACCGGACTCCCACGCCTATCACAAGGGGCCCCATGAGAAAGACCCTTTGTGCAGACAAGCACCCTCTACTATATACATTTACTGTATTTTCATGTATTGCCCTGCTGTGCTTTCAACCTTACTATAATAGACCACACCAAGCCTGCATGTTCACTAAAGGAAAGGCTCGCAACACACACATCAAGCTACTGATGCACACATATAACACACTGATTACAACCCACTTGTAGCTGCAGCTTTGGTGGCTTACACACTATGATATAACTAACAGACCTCACCTGACCATGCTATAGTTCTCTAGAGTCGTGAACTGAAAAGCGTAGCAACAGCTTAAGTATATGTCAACACGCATACTCACACTTGCTGTCACATTTGGTGGAGCCGACAACTAAGTCAGTCACCATAGCATGTTTACTACACCTCATTGTTTCGCTCACCCACTGACACTTCCTATGATGATGTTATCTACTGCTGCTATCATTTATTATAAGCGTTGACCTAGCATTTTCGTTCAAAAGATTAGTGAGTTATATTTAGGTTTTCAGTGAATCTATACAGTATTACATAACCAGATACAGCCCTGATTTAAAATGTGCCCATACTACAACTACTATAGCATTGGTGAACTAGCAATGTTAAGCATCCAATATCTGTATTTGCGTTTCTGTTTTATTTTATTTCACCTAACCCTACTCGGACAAAATAACTGTCTAGTTAAGCATGTTAAATATAAAAATTGTGCAAATTATCATGCCACTGTCTAACTTGTATGCAACTTGAAATACGCTGTTGTGGCGTCTGTCAGTCCATCTATTGTGACCACCTGCACACCAAAAATAAAGAATTATAAAAAAAAAAAAAGTGGAACAGTCACATCTTTTTGCACAAACCTGATGGGCTGTACCATTATTTTTAATATTTCACTTTGTATGCAAGTCTGATTAAGCATGTCAAATTTATTTTAACCCATATGGTACTGAATGTAGGTCGTTTCTCTGCAGAGGACACAGCATTATATAAGTTGATCACTCGGACGTCCTGCAGAGGTGAGCCATATTTATACTTTATGAGAGTCGCACAAGTGCCATTTAATTACATATAACTAGCCTTAACCAGATGTCTTTGGTTTACTCTAATAATCTGTATCTTTTATGCACCATCTAATTATGCATTATTGCTCTCAAGCCATCCAATAAAGCAAGTATTTAGCTCAAATATTCTATGTGGCATGACGGAGGGACATTAAATGTTAACATTACTTTTGGGTGGCAATCACCAGACCAAACACTTAACTTCCTACTGCCATCCAAAGTTAGATGGGCTAATATAGAGTTAACTTCCACATTAAAGGGACACTATAGTCACCTGAACATCTTTATCTTAATGAAGCAGTTTTGGTGTATAGAACATGCCCTTGCAGCATCACTGCTCAATCAGCTGCCATTTAGGAGTTAAATCCCTTTGTTTATGAACCCTAGTCACACCTTCCTGCATGTGACTTGCACAGCCTTCCATAAACACTTCCTGTAAAGAGAGCCCTATTTAGGCTTTCTTTATTGCACGTTCTGTTTAATTATGATTTTCTTATCCCCTGCTATGTTAATAGCTTGCTGGACCCTGCAAGAGCCTCCTGTATGTGATTAAAGTTAAATTTAGAAATTGAGATACAATTATTTAAGGTAAATTGCATCTGTTTGAAAGTGAAACCAGTTTATTTTTTCATGCAGGCTCTGTCAATCATAGCGAGGAGAGGTGGCTAGGGCTGCATAAACAGAAACAAAGTGATTTAACTCCTAAATGACAGTGAATTGAGCAATGAAATTGCAGGGGAATGATCTATACACTAAAACTGCTTCATTTAGCTAAAGTAATTTACGTGACTATATAGTGTTACTTTAACAGTCATAGCAGAGTCCATAATGGTCTCTGTCAGATTTGTAAATTATACCTATTCAAGCCCTATAAATGCAAGGTTCATCTAGAGAGAATGCATCAAGGATTGGGGCTCAGTCTCAAGACACGAGGGGCGTATGGTGTGGACTTCCAGGGATATATATACCCTCTATGAACAAACCAGAAAACAAACTAGAGGTTAAATATTGTTTAACCCCTTAAGGACACAACTTCTGGAATAAAAGGGAATCATGACGGAATATTTCCATCATGTGTCCTTAAGGGGTTAAAAATGATAGCTTACAACGGTCAGCACTATGTCTATATACATGTCCCTAGCAGAAGGGGACGTGGTAGGCCAAACATGTGATTAGCAGAACTGCATTCAGTGGGGAAATACCTTTGCAAGTTCTTCTGTGACTTTCTCGAAGTCCTTGGTGTTCCTGCAATAAAATCCGATTGTGCAACTTGGATCCATCTTCTTAAAAGACATCTTCTTCGGGGAAGGGCAATGGAATGACTGAGGACAAAATATTTTATTCAATCCAAAATGTGATGTGTATAATGCATATTCTAACTAAAATCTGCTACTTCTTAAATAATCATCACAAAATGACCTTTGAAAAAGCTCACACATTTCATAAGATATTAACTTCTCCAATGATTTCCATCTCAAACCTCCCCGACCCCCTCCCAAACATCCTCCCAAGATGAATCCATATTAAATTGTTTAATCAATGTGGCCTAATCTAAGTTGATACAACTCACTAGAACAGAGAGGAACCAGTGAATACATGAAAAAAAACATTAATACCAGGAAAATGGCAGTGCCCAATAGAACGTTAGACAAAAGAATGTTGATTTTATACAAACTATTTGCTACTTGGCAAAACCATGCGCATAAATCAGGTTTCCAAGTATTTATTTTTTTCCAGAAAAATTCTAAAATAAATACCATCATAATAAATTAATTGTTTTGATTGCTATCAAGAGACAACGTAGTTTTAAATTAGTCCCCATGTACCAAGATTGATGTCTTTGCCCTAATTGGTAAGAACCCATTTTGAAAAACAACCCCACTTTGTCCGTATCAATGTTGTAAAGGTGCTGCCGAAATACAAAAAGCTTTTAAAAAGGCTCTCTTTGTACAAGCAACAAATGTTTTGCCCTATTCTCATTTCACAACATTGTTTAAACACATTAAAAAAAGAATGACTTTAAAATCCCTAACCCTCTGTAATCTTGACTAGAAAGCAATGTTTAAACGTGATAATGTGTGTGATTTTACCTAATTAGATTTGCAAATCTATCTGCGTAGACTATGAGCTTCAGTAAAATGTACATTGTTCCACTGGGGTCCATTTATCTTTGTCAAAGAATTTCTCTATGGCTGTTCGAGTCAGCGTTTCAAAGTTTAATGATGGTGCATATTCTCGTATTGCATAAAACACTGAGCTTTTAGCTTTATTGACCATTATCTGTAGCAGTGGTTTATGCAAAATAAATTATGAATGTGTGTATGTGTTTTGGGGACCAGGGGGGTGTTGGAGATCTGATTGAAGGTGGACATTGTTTAAGCAAGCTTTAGATTACTACATTTACAAACTTAGAGACATTTATAAAGAACCACTGTGGTGCAGTTCTAATCGAGCGTAGACGTTCTATTGGTTGAATGCTGCCATTCAACTTTTCTTTCTAAATAACTTCAACATTTTATGCATAGGCCTAGAAACAGACATAGGTAGATGTAACGTGGCCCAGAGATAGTGACTTTTTTAAGGTGGCTCTGAGGTGCCAGATGCAGATGTAGGCATTTACTCATTGCCAGAGAGGGTTATCCAAGCTCTCTTCATTCCTAAACGTTACAAAAAGGACATATGGCTTCTCCAGTTCTAAAACAGGCTATCATGCAGTTAACTAGTGGAAATCAAAGGAAACATCTAACCATGTTAAAACGGTTTGTTAGATTACACTGGGATGACAACAGGGTACTCCTGTAGGCTGTAGTGGTTATGGTGCTTTGAATGTTCTTTTAAGGTACTTACAAAAGCAGCAATAAAACCGATGGAAATAGTCCACCTAGGCACGGCTTTAGGGACCATATGGCAAAGTTCGCACTCAACAATGCAATCAAAGATGTAGCATTTCAAACCACTATCTGTTAAGGCAGCCCCCCTGTCCGTGGCAAGATTATATTGGGCTCTTTATAGCCCAAGGAAACTGTTCAAAAAAAATTGACATCTGAAGAGTAATTTGTGGGATACAATGATGATTCAAGGTATATCTGATTGATCTTGTGATCTCGGATAATTCTCAATAAGTATGCATTTACATTTTTTAGCCACTTTTGCCTTTTGTTTCACACTGGTATATAATGTTAACAGTTTAGTTTATGTGTTGTACATGTTGCAGCTTTTGCCTGAGTATTTGGTTTGTGTGGGGTTTTTTTGCTCTCACTTTTTAAGGTATTGTCAAAACAAGTATCAGTTTTGTTTATTTTTTATTTGATATTGTTTTGATTAAGCCATTTTTTGGGGAAGGGCACTAACCTTGTTTGTGTAGGGAATTTTTTTTTTTATGCAGACAGACATTCAAATGTTTAATTGAAATTAAAATTTATAGATTTTGCATTCTAAAGTTTCAACAATTTTTAGTACCAATACCAAGAATTAAAAAAGCTCTATTTCTTTAACCCTTCCTACGTTTTCTCTTTAGCTAGAATTTAAACATTGGTCACACAATTGTTTAATGGTGATAGGATGAAGACAGTGTCATAAATTGAGAATACAAATCAGATAATTCCACTTTTCTTTCCGAAACATATTTCACGATCTATTCAACTCCGCAACTGGTCCTAGCTACAGAAAGGTGATGAGATCTTTTGTAGAATTTCAACTTCTAATTAGTGTATAAATCAGACAAGCAAAACTGAGCTCAAAAACTGCAGCCACATTACCTCGAGAGGGAAATCTGTTATGCTGACATCTACAAAAGATTGGCAGTAATGAGGATCCATGTAAATCAAACTGTCATCTACAAGGACAAAACAGAAGACAAGCAATTCAAAAAATACTCTATTATTACAATGCTTACAATCTAATCTCTATGCAGAGCGGCGAGAAAAAAAGAAAATCAGACAAAAGGATAATGCCAGAGAATGCTTGACTGATGCAGAGATTTTACAGGACAGATTAACTTTTGCATAATCAAATATGCTTGTATAAGCAGATTTTTTTTATAAAGTGATGAGACTGTCATTTAATTTTTGGTGATGAAATTACTCTTACAAACACACAATTATATTCTGCCATTTGGGCGATGACAAATGCACAAAGTTACAGGATACTGACAAGGTGGACAGATTATATGTCATGTTAACATCAACGTACCCCACTTTAAACTGCTCAAATGTAAATATGTAACAATCTGCTAAATGAGAGCAGTGGAAGCTCTTAAAGTTTCATTAGACGGTAGGTAAAATATGCCTTGTTTATGCAGTGTGAGAAATTAAACATGCGTTTTACAGAAACCAATTACTATGCGCGCTAAATGACAAACGACTAGAGTTTTGTGGACCCTGATGAATTAATAGAGGACTTTTTTGCCATTGTAATTATTCAGCTCCCAAACGGTCATTTACAAATTCACTTGCTTTGTAGATGAAGCGGGGGATGTGACTTCAAATTGAGTTAGAAAGTTGAATTTTATTAAATCACCAACCTTGAAAACCTACAAAGTAATAGGATTGCTTGGGTTTGCCACCAATAATTCCAACAGAACACTCGAGGCTTAGGATACCCTAAATTGGGAAATAGAAGAGGGTGGGAAAAAATAATATCAGTAGTAGATCTCTGTAAAAAGGATAAAAAGCTAGTCAGTCATTCTGAATCTATACACATTCTGTTCTGAAGCAGGTTTTCTTTAAACAGGGCATCCAGATAATCTATATTGTTCTGCTATATGATGACCAGAAAATTTCGGAAGCTGCAGTTTTAACATACCAGATCTAAACTATATATACACAATATTTCTCAAGAGAAAATAAACAAATTGTTAACATGATACAAATAAAGTTTTAAAGCAACATTTTTCCCATTTGCAGTTTCTGACATGTCTGCTTAAACTAGGACACTGAAAGGGAGACGGGAATGGTTGACATTTACCTGAACCTCTTACTCCTGGCTGCCACCACTTCCTTTAGCTCCTGGTGGAAGATGGTGAAGTCACTATTGAACTTTTGCGCAAGTGCAGAACAGTGGTCTATGGAAGAGTGAGCGAAACCTTCCAGAATAATCTCTGGTTTTCACAACGAGAAGTCATAGGCATGTTTGTTCAGTTTAATCAGCAGTTCCTAACCAGCAGCTAATGGTAGTGTCAGGATGTGGTAGCAGAAGCACATTGTCATATATAAAACACCTAATTTTCGCAAAATGTGGCAAAGTCATCTTTTCTTTGCCTTGTGTATTTCTAGAGTGAGCAGCAACTGCATGTGTGACACTCAGACTTTTACAAAATGGTTTACTGGGCTATTAAAGTGACAGCAGTCACAAAATGGCTGCTGTTAGCTTCCTTCCTTATCATATGTAATGAGAGAGACGGATGCCAGGTGTTAAACTACACATCACAAAAATCCCTGATGGACGGGTATTTATGGGAGAAGAAACCACACAAAATAAAGAACGGTTTTATCAGGTGCTATTTACCACTTACACACTGTAAGTGATGCTACAACAACCTTTTGGTTTTTTGTGTGTATTTTTGTGGTAATAAGCAAATTGTGAAATTTAAAAAATAAAATATAAAAATCTTTTGGATTTATGGGATAAGATCGGACCGGGATAAGGAGCTTTAATAGTGAAGCATTTTTAAGGATCTCAGTGCAGTTAAAGACAGAAGCTTTTGCCAAAAGTAATTTTGAAAATCCTTGACCTGCCTGAAAACCTATTTAGGATTGCAGGAGCAAGAAAATATTTTTTTTTTAAAGAGAAAAAAAATGTTTACTGGTGCAAAATTGAAGGTGAAATGTCAGGGTTAGCCATACAGAGGAAAGTATAAACCTATATAAAGACTTTGCTGGGTTAGAACGATACTCTGACTAAAAAAAAGCCAAGTGAAACATTTAAAAATATGATGTTTTCCCAGAATAAGTGTCTCTGTTTTTGCTGCAGTTTAATCAATATACAGTGAAGCATGTCAAACAAACGTGCAGGTTAAAAGGAAAATCCTCAGTAAGCCAAGCAGAGCGGTGTAGAGTGACACAGAAATGGGACACGGGTTTAGATTGACCCTATACAGTTGGGAGATAAACTAATAACCCAGCCTCAGCTAAGAAGGTGTATCACTTTAAGATGGAAGACAGAAGAGTAAACAGAGCTGTGTAATCATTAGTATATGACAAATAAAAGCAAATTACTACAAAAATATAGCCATATTCCAAGCTAGGACAAGGACACAAATAGCCAAACTAGTTACAAGACTGTCAAAGACACCTCAATATATCTAGAATTTCCTGAAAACTCACTATCACAACATCTATAAACCAGATAAACCATACCTCCCAAGTGTCCCTTATTATGGGGGTCAGTCCCTATTTTGGGCATACATTTTAATTGTATAAATTGTTGCTAGTAAGTCACCTAAAAATGTTCTTACAGCCTTGCCCCTGGCCACCCTGCCACTCAAACCTCCAAAACGTAAAGTGCCCCTCTTTGTTAATTTGAAATGTTGCGTGGTATGGATATACCAATAAACATATCACATTCCATCAGTGAGTTTTTACATGATATAAAATAAGGTGATATATTGTAACCAAGACATTTCCTACCTTTACAAAATCAAAGTATTGAACATTTGTTCTTTCGCCACCAAGTCGCACAGGGACCAGTATTAAAATGGCTTTATCGCCGTCCAAGCCTTGTAGTTGGTCACAGACATCACCTGTATAAACTACAAAACCATTGCCGTTAGAGTACATTTCATTTACCAGAAGGCATTCTATACTCCAGTCCCACCATTATGAATGGTCTTCCCAAATAAGGCATGTGATTGACATGTGATTGGGGAGCACTGTGCGGCAGAGGATCATGTGATCTATTCAAGGAGTAAGCCAACTGCTAGGATAAATGTTGCATTTAACTAGTGTAAATCAAGAGAAACGTGTTCGGGTATACATTGCCCCAATCGAAGATAGACCATCTGTTATTGTTACTACACTAGCTGTTCACTTACTTGTGCAATCTTGAGCAACATAAACTGAAATTCCTTTCAGCTCAGGATCAGGGCTTTCTTCAATGGCTTTCCTAAATATAAAGGAATGGATTTTCTTACCCAGGATGCAATGCAGGCAAAACCCAGTTTATATTCCATAAAACATTACATACAATCATCATCTTCTAGTTAACCATGTAATAGGTTCCATAACACAATTAGAGGCACACAAAATATATTATATATAAATGTGTATAAAAAGATAAAACACCAAGTCAAATAAAGAGGCATGTAACAATGTTTAATAAAAGTTAAGGGTTTGTGTCAACAGTACATCTAAATACTGCAATAGAATTCGCCATGACACTTGTGTGGAATAAAGGGTCTCAAAAATGCCACAGTCACAAAAATTATGACTAAGATATAAACACCGAAATCTATAAGTAATGAGAAAATTTTAAAAGGTGCTATAATACACAAAACATATGGATGACAAGGTCTCAAATACTATAATTATTATTTTCATTAATTTATTATTTACATAGTGCCATCAGATTCCATAGCGCTGTACAATGCACTGGTGAAATAGATTTGCACCTTGTCGCTATGCAAAATGACTGACACCAAGCAACGGGAATGCAGAGATAATTTGTGGACAGAAGGATGGGCGCTCATATGATGGTGGTTTTCAGACCTGTGTTGCCGCACCGGAAGTGTGTAAACAAATGTTTTTTTATCTTCCACAATTCAATATCTAGAGACTTTCCAAACTGCTTGGCCAGATTAAATTGGCTTAATTAAGACATGTTGAGATTACTGTAGGTTTTATTTTAAAAGTACATGTTACAGTCGTATCAATACACAGTGTACTGCAGCTTTAAGAACGGCTAGACAAGCCCCCTGGAACGTCGCTGACAGTTGGAAGCCACTGTGAATTGTGATTGAGGAACCTATTAGTAATATGTGTTTGAGGCTGAATAAAAGTTGACTAAAATTCAGGTTTCAGAAATTTTGGGACAGTTAGTGGAACAAGGAACTTACAGAACTCGGAATATTATAATCGTGACCACACAGGGAACAAAACAAAGAGCACATTAATCACGAGTCTCTAATCACCTGGACAAACTGTACTAAACACAATTTGACTACTTATTCTGGATGGTGCCAGCAAACTCCTGGCACTATTACCACATCGCTACAGCCAGCTGTAGTAGTTATGGTGGTTGGGGTATTCCTTTAAATGTATCCAGCAAGGACACAGTTTTAAGTTCTCCAAGTATAGTTTGTTTTAGAAGAGAATTCATGCGTGATAGGTTAAACATGCACCTGCTTATTCATTTGCATTTAAGCTCCTTGGCAGTTCGGTTGAAATTGATAAATACTTGAAATGGTGAAACATTTTAATATAAATTTATATTAATTATAAAATGCAATATGAGAAATGTCAATGGCGAACCCATTAAAGGTCACCTTTCATGAATGACCTGCTGCCAATTTAAAAAGAACATTAGAGTAGCCAAACTGAAAGCAGAGAACTTAGAGAATGTTTCCAGTTCGGCTATTTTGATCTTAAATTTGAAATTTACTTTCAATTCACCTTGAGTTCTGACTGAGGTGAATAAACTCTGCTGGTGTGCATTGTCCTCGAGCTGATGGGCTATGCAATGTTCAGTTAAATAGATCATACATTCTCACAATCTTGGTAATTTCACTAGCATACTATACAGATTCCATACCTACTTAAAGATGAATTGTCATATGCGAAGTGAAGTATAGATAGCCCTAATAGTTAGAACACTTGCCTCAGGAGATGAGAGACCACCGCTGGTCCATACCAGTCTCCAGCCACTTTACCGGAATTCTTACCAAGTTGAACTAATTTATGGATACCAAAATACGCCGCTGGGCAGTCGGCAAACCATGAGACTATTTTCCTGTGATAGAACTCAGTAGTATCTACATTAACATTCTTGTTTGTTAATGGCTTGCAAGATGAGATAGTGTCTCTAGTTTCAGGCAAAGAGGTTTCGAAAGGAGCAGCAAGTCTCTGAGACGTATTTGAAAACAAAGAGAAAGGGTCAGCATTGACAAAGTCCACGGAGTTTGGCCAGATCCAGTCTGAAATAGCATACAAGAAAACAGTGTGACAAAAAAGTTCAAAATAGTAGATTATAGGTTACAGAATGTAAATATACGACTGCTTCACCTTCCAGAATCATACACCTATTATCTCAGAATTTAAATTTAGCTCATTAAAGACATTATAGGGACAGGGACAGGAGTTGCTGGTCAGCATTTTGTGCTTATATATTTTCTATAATTTGTTTTTCATATCTTCTAACCTGATCTTTTGTGGCAATAAAAATATTTTTTGCAAATATAAGTGAAGTGCGGTATCATATTGATTTTGTATAGGGACAGGAGAACCTGGGCTCTTTTTTCCCATAAGGTGCCCAGACTTGCATAACAGCTTAACCCTTGAAGGCAAGGCAAAGCCTGGACACTGCTTCCCCTATAACTTCAATGAGCAGAAGTGGTTAAAGGGATGTGAGTGTTCCTTTAAACCAGAGGTCCAAAAACTGTGGCCCTCCAGATGTTGCTGAACTACAACTCCCATGATTATCTGGCTATCTATGTAATTCACAGAATCATGGGAGTTGTAGTTCAGCAACATCTAGAAGGTCACAGTTTGAGGACCCCTGCTTTAAACCTTTGGGTGCAAGCTGTCTGAACAGGGATGTCTACATCAAATTCTTGTGAAATGCAAAACCATTCGATATTCCTTCCATTTCAATCAATCCAATATTTACCTTTGTGTCCCATCTCAACCCTCTTCCTTAAAAATTAAACTACATATCCCATGGTTCTAAGCAAGTCACCCATCACTGCTCTAAGCAGTACCAGTAACCATGGTGGTGGTCTGCTCTTTTTATTTATAATCCAGTTTGGTCGCTGCGATGTAAAAACTGCAAGATTTCTCTATCAAATTGTCCAGCTCAGTTTGGGATAATGTTTGCGGTTGGTAATAGTGGTAGTTTCTCACTAAACCCAGGGATGTGCAGAGAATTCAGTGGATGGTACACTATCTGACTTCTATATGGAATGGAGCATGTGTGGGAATGTGTCAAGTTAAAAATCTATAAAAAAAAAAAAAAAAAAAAGCCTACTAATGTCAACCAACCTCTTCCTAGGAAATGAAGGAGTAATCCTTGTGCCAGCAACATCTGACCAGTTCTCAAAGTACAACCCCAACCGCAGTCAGTCGTCCACACGGATTCTTCTAATGGGGGGAATTCTTGGCGGTACGTCAGCCATATCCTGGAAATAAAGTCTTTCCTAAACTCTTCTACATTCCCCCAGTTGTCATCACTGTTTATGGAGCCAGAGTCTGAGCCTTCAGGTGAAGATTCGCTGGATTCTGTAATGAAAAGAAGGGAGACGGGTGATATCAGAAAAATACCAAAAAAATTTTTTTTTATCTATTACACTATTATTTAACGTCTACTTTTAATTTAAAAATATAGAAGTGACACCGAGATATTACTCTGACAGGATTAAACAATCACTAGGCCAATTCATTACCTTCACCCTTGAAGTGGTAGCATTTGCCGAGAAGAAAGACAGGAGAATTCCGTCTAAAATAGGTTTTTGTTTTAAGAACCCAGCCTTTAAAAAAAAAAGACAATAAGTTGAGTGAAACAAAATGGAAAAAACAAAACACTTTAAGATTTTGAAATATAGACTTTGAATGGCCGGCATTGTTTGTAACATCAGAACATAATACAGACACGGGGATCACCTACAAGTAAGGCACCAGCTAAGGATTATGGGAATTTTATTTGCAAGGCAATCTATAGACTACATTTGCATTAAATGAATGTCAAAATGTTTGTTTGCTTGTGATTTCCATAGAGCAAAACTGAAAAATGTAGGGTAAAGCAGAACCTACAGACGTCAAAAGTGAAAGTAATTAAATAAAAATCACTTTGTATAGCTCCTCTGCACTAAGCGCTAAATCACTTTGTATAGCTCCTCTGCACTAACTGCTAAATCACTTTGTATAGCTCCTCTGCACTAACTGCTAAATCACTTTGTATAGCTCCTCTGCACCAACCGCTAAATCACTTTGTATAGCTCCTCTGCACTAACTGCCAAATCACTTTGTATAGCTCCTCTGCACTAACTACTAAATCACTTTGTATAGCTCCTCTGCACTAACCGCCAAATCACTTTGTATAGCTCCTCTGCACTAAGCGCCAAATCACTTTGTATAGCTCCTCTGCACTAACCGCCAAATCACTTTGTATAGCTCCTCTGCAATAGCCGCTAAATCACTTTGTATAGCTCCTCTGCAATAGCCGCTAAATCACTTTGTATAGCTCCTCTGCACTAGCCGCTAAATCACTTTGTATAGCTCCTCTGCAATAGCCGCTAAATCACTTTGTATAGCTCCTCTGCACTAGCCGCTAAATCACTTTGTATAGCTCCTCTGCACTAACCGCTAAATCACTTTGTATAGCTCCTCTGCACTAACTGCCAAATCACTTTGTATAGCTCCTCTGCACTAAGCGCTGTTGTGTAGAACTAAGTGATGGTGAATCCCCCATCTGTCAAAAATCACTTTTCCATAATTAACAAAAGAATGTTTTGTACATTTTTTTGGTACACTTTTGCAAAACTAATGTAGTAGCCAGCAACAATTCTCAAATGAGAATGGCTTATTAAGGCAGGGATTATTAAAAATACTGACACTATATAACAGCCCCGTCAACCAGGCAGACAGAAAGTACAGCAGAGGCTGATCACTGCAAACAGCCCAAATTACAAAACTGAATTGGGCTGTGTATAAACAGATTGCAAAAATATATAGTCTGTAGATACACCCCAAAAGAAACAAACAGGTAATTATGTTTGCATGTTTTTTACGGGTATAGGAAATAACTTGCAATAGATTCAGATCTAGTTTACAGCCCTCCCCTTCATTTCCAGGAAGACTTTCATGTCTGTGCCATGGAATGCCAATCAAATGCTTTTCATTGAGGATACGTACCAACCAGAAGCGCATATTACACTCCATGAAATGCTGTCCAATCACAAACTTCTCAATGAGCTGCACTACACTTAATGGAAAGGTCTTTAATAGACAGTGCCCTGGGCGCGTGCCAGAGTATAGCTCTATGGAGCTGAACTAGAAGGAAGGAAAGCGTCCACTTTTAGTATAAAAATAAATAAATAAAACACTTCCACAGAGCACTTCAGCAAGTTTCTGTTCCTAAAAGAGATCTATAATTAAAGTGTTACTCTAACCAAAAACAGTTTATGAAAATACAGTTTTTGTTGTTGTTATATAACCCTATAACCAAACAATCGAAGCGTGTAAACTTCCATCCTCTTATCTGTTGGTGTTTTCCAGTATACAGAGTCTTTGTTGCTCACATAGCCTTCCTAGATAAAGCTACAGACTCCACCGGAAACCCGTCCATCTCCGAATACAGACTCCACCGGAAACCCGTCCATCTCCGAATACAGACTCCACCGGAAACACGTCCATCTCAGAATACAGACTCCACCGGAAACCCGTCCATCTCAGAATACAGACTCCACCGGAAACACGTCCATCTCAGAATACAGACTCCACCGGAAACCCGTCCATCTCAGAATACAGACTCCACCGGAAACCCGTCCATCTCAGAATACAGACTCCACCGGAAACCCGTCCATCTCCGAATACAGACTCCACCGGAAACCCGTCCATCTCAGAATACAGACACCGGAAACACGTCCATCTCAGAATACCAACTACACTGGAAACACGTCCATCTCAGAATACCAACTACACTGGAAACACGTCCATCTCAGAATACCAACTACACTGGAAAAACGTCCATCTCAGAATACCAACTACACTGGAAACATGTCCATCTCAGAATACCAACTACACTGGAAACACGTCTATCTCAGAATACCAACTACACTGGAAACACGTCCATCTCAGAATACCAACTACACTGGAAACACGTCCATCTCAGAATACCAACTACACTGGAAACATGTCCATCTCAGAATACCAACTACACTGGAAACATGTCCATCTCAGAATAGCGACCACACTTGACTGATTACGCACTCACTGCACATGCAAGATTTTAGTAGACAAGAACTTCACATAAACAATGAAATAAAGTTTAAAACACACACAAAAGAAAAACAAAAAACAAACGCACAACACACTGTGTAGTTGTCCCCTTCATTACTTGTGGTCAAAAGGAATGAATAGAAATGAGATGTCAGCAATGCAACACAAAAAAAACCGCAATGTGAAAAACATGCAGCATTTTATTTTCATTTAAATCAATGATTAAACAATTACATTGAATATACTAACACAACAGATAATCAGTTTTAAGTATCAATCAAGCAGTTTACTGATGAAGTGCCTTAATTCAAGACAGCATAAGCATACATATGGTGACTATTTTAATAAAGGAAATTATTTACTTTCTGGAGTGATCAATATATTTTGAAAATAAAACTGCTTTGAAATGTTTTAGAATTTAATACCGGCTTATAGGCCTTTTACATTATCAGACGTCTATAAAGTATTAGTGGATGGTAGGATAGCTATTGTATATATCAACACCATTAAAAAAAAAAAAAAAAAGTGATATAGGAGCTGTAGCTGGGAATTCTGGATGCATGATTGACAGCTCTGAGGGGCCGTCTTAGAGCTGCAGTGAATTTTATTGGTCAAAGCACCATCAGCTTACCAATAATATTTTAATGGCAGTGATGTTCCTTAAAGTGACCATTTCAAATATTTTTTATTGCCTTCTAGATATGAAGAGACCATTTGTTTTAAGAATGGTTTAAAAATGTTGATCCACTTACTGTATTTCATATTATTCCAAGCTGATAAGAATTTGGATTTCAGTTTTTCAACATCATCTGATCCACTGGCCTCCATTTTCGCCATTTGAAAAAACCCATGCCTTTATTATTTCACGAATGCAAATACCTAGACATTGAAAAACAAAAATATTGTAATGTAGCACAATAGGGATATATCCATCAATATGAGTGTTGATGTATAACCTGCACCTTTTCTGTGATATTTTTCCCCCTGGAGAGAATCATCCATTTCAAGTCTTTGCCACTATTGCATTTGTGGTTTTTCCATAATTTATTTATTTATTTTTTGTGTGTGAGATACATTTAAAATGTGTAATTTTCATCAGAAAAGTATAGTTTTACAATGTTCTCTTATCTTTGCCTAGAAAGTGAGCAGAATATGCAGAGAGTTCACATTCTTAGTTGGATAGAACTGTGGCAGTTAAGATTTTTTTTTTTTATATTTACTTTCTAATACATAAGAGGTGACAGTTAATGGCTTTTAAAACCCTTTATTAAATCATTTTTGACCCCCCTTCAAAACTTCAGAACATTTTTTTGTAACTCTTTCCAATTAAATTTATGTTGACATACATTTTTTAAAAGAAAAGTTAAGAAAATCCTTTTATAATGAAACATTGTTTCACGTTGGACTACCAGAGAAGCGGGACTTAAAGTTCGAATTCCTGTAAGAATCTAAAATGTGCCATACCATCTCAGAGAGTTCCTCTAAACCTTTTCCCATCTCCTCCTCACTTGATTACTTTACAAAGCGATATAAAATGAAAAACATACCTGAAATCCAGTCCCTGGTTAGGGTCATAAGTAGTCTTGGTGGTTGGAGAAACCATATAAAGCAGTGGTTCCCAAACCACGGGGCCCACCAACAATCCAGGATGTATGTCCTCCCCTCTTTTATTCCAATGGGGATACGGGCAAAACCCAAGACTGTTGGTGGGTCTTCATGCCTGGTTTGGGAAACACTGCTGTAATGTATAACCACTCCTAAACCAGTGAATATAAAATTTATCATAAAGACAATGGATATTTGCTTTAGGAGCGGTCATGATATTACTTGCCTCCCGTCCAGCATTTAATTTAGTCTGTGGGTGTTACACTTCCGTAGCAGACATCCTTCAGTTCTATTTTGTTACAGTCCCCTAAACAGGGATTGTCCCTACTTGGAATCACTTTGTGCAGTAAATTGTCTTGTTCTGAATGCCCTATCAATACATTTGCATTATGTATGAGAGCTGCATTAAAAGTAAATCCAGATTTTTTTTACCTTTACGAGTTGCTGAATGCAGAGCAGGAATTGGAGCAGACTAGCAAAGCATTATGGCAGTCCTAGCTAAACAGCTTTGAGTGCTACAGTGCAGCCAACTCTGTGTCAAAGAGCAATGCTTCAAGTTTAATTCTGTACATGCAAATCAACCTCGGACCCACCATCTGTCTTGACACCAAATTACTTTCCATACAAAGACTTCTGATGTGTGACGAATCACTATCTTTTAACTTAATTGGCGTTTTTATAATCTATATATTTTTTTTTTTTTCTTTACAAATTAACTTTAAAACATCTTATCTACAGTTTAATTATCTACAAAAAATGGGAATGGTGCAACATGTAGTAAATTTTAATCGCAATAGGTAATCTGTTTAGACCTGTGAGATCTATGGCACCTTAGATGTTTCCAATGACATTTTTTATGATTGTCAGCTCTAAATTTAACTATAGTTATGCGTTTACTGGTAAAACAAGTGTTTATTTAATTATTTTCATTCACGCCAATTAATCACAAGCATAACAGGAAACTGTATTTTGTTTAAATGAACACTCTAGGCACCATAACAAATGAAGCGTAACTCCTGTCAGAGAAAGAAATACTTCAGCTTATTTATTGGTGGGTTTTATATTTTTCATTTTAGGTTTAGGGATCTCATTTTGCACTTTAAAAAAAATAATCTATATACCTCCAATCCAGTTAAAAAAAGTCCGTTCCCACAAGACCATCAATATGAATGATCTCTGGACCAATCCAATGCATCTCTGAGAAGCAATAGGGACCTATGGCGCATCAGTTGATTTACTCCAACTGCAGAACAATTCTCATAAGGAAGCGCTGAATCCAGTGCTACTATTTAAACACTTGTTCAAAGTGAGTGAGCAGGTAACAGCCAGGAAGGTGTAGCTAATGCAATTTAGATTTGGAGTGACTTTACATGCAGTATTTTAAAATCATGGACTTCTTTAGTTTTAAAGGTGTTTTTACTGGCAATTTCAATTTTATTTACAGTAGATCACTAGAAGTAAAATGTTATTGGAAGGACTTGGACAAGGAAACTGCTTCAGTAATAATTTATTTAATACTTTTCAGGTTTACATACACACAAAAATAGATTAAATAAAATAAAACCACTTGTCCATTCTTCCACTGCTCTTTCCACAGACCGTGGCATGGCTGTTGAAGTAGTTTCCCAGTAGCCTTCCACTTTCGGTGGGGACTTGCGCTTTTCAACTGTGGTTTTTTAAAAATCACGTCTTCAAAACAAAAAATAAAAATAAACGGTTCACCAGTACACATAGGTAAAAAAAAAATATATATATATAAATAAAAAAAATGCTTCTTTGACCTTTTCTGAGAATGTGACTGTTCCAAGAGGAGAGACATAATCACGTTAAAAAGATAAGTATAGCAACACACCCTAATAAACACACCCTAAATAAAATACAGCCCACAGCGAGCTTAGTTATTGCAAATACGAACAATTGTTATTGAGTAAAGAAATATACTTGGAGTTCTACTATGTACTATTGATATTGCATTAGCTATAACACCCCCCCCCCCCTTTTTATATTCTGTACCCCACCAACGATCTAAAAACAACTAAAAATAAAGATAAGTATAGATATACACAATATACAGATTTTAATGGTTTTTAAATGGTGTACTGCACAGTTGACCATCTCACAGAGTGCATTAAAAACCATAATGCACAGTGTGACGGACACTACGCATTATGTGGGCCCTTTATTATAGTGCAATGCTAAATCACACGTGTTTTAACCTGTCTAAGATTACTGCTAGCAGCTGTCACTATCTCAGGAGAGTGGTTGTGGTGTGATGGACAGTGCAATTCTGTCTCAACAGTTCACTGGCAGGGACCCTGAATTAAAAGAGAACAGCCCCAATGATAGGCTGACATACTCAAAAACGGTGCACCTAAGCACATAGCACCATGAATGTACAATGAGCTGCAGTGGGTATGGTGCTTACTTTGGCTATTTTGCCACTCCTGTCAAAAGTGGCCTCACCATCCTCCATCAGAGAGCATTTCAATTTTTGTTATTAACTCAACATTATGCACACATGAATTCAAATTATTCCTGTCAATTACAGAAAACATTTCTTTAAAAGTGTGCATAGTCATCAATTTCAAGAGAGCCGTTCTCTTTAATGGGTGCTGCATTCTACAATCTCATTGTAGCTTATAAGCCTGTTTGAGCAGAGCCCTTTGCACCCATTTAAGTCAACATTGTGCTGTTGCAGTTACTTGCAGTTATATTGCTGTAATGCACTGCAGAATATATTGGTACTACATTAATACTAATAATCATAGCATGTATTTAAAATAAAATTCGATTTTTTAAACATATATTAGACTTACCATTATCATACTCTTACACTTACTGCTGTTCTGTGGTTTTTTTTGTTTAGTTTTTTTACATCTTTTTATGTTTATTTTGAGCTTTCTTCTGGGACAGAGTTCATCAACATTCTTTACATCATCTGTTTGTCAAGGTGATGACGGATCCTCCATTCAATTACTTCGTTTCCTGAACTCATTATGTGCATATATGATAAAGGTAGTATCTAGCCATGTCCTACTCGCTCAGAAAACTATTCCAGCACAGCTGACCACCATTCTAAATGATGGTTAAACAAAAAAAAAAAAAATCTTTCAAACAACAATTATTGTTTCACCAACAGTATCATCTGTAATAAATGTATCACATTTAAAGGGACAATATAGTCACCAGAACAACTACGGCTTAATGTAGTTCTGGTGAGTATAATCATTATATGCAGGCATTTTCATGCAAACACTGCCTTTTCAGAGAAAATGCTGTCTTTACATTGTCCCTAGGGACAGTGCCAAATGGCCACTGGAGGTGCTTCCTGGCTCAGTGCTGCACAGTAGGCAGCTCTGCTGTTCAGCATCCCCACACTCTTCATGGGGACACCGAATTTTTCTCGTAGAGATGCATTAATTCAATGCATCTCTATGAGGAGGTGCTGATTGGACAAAACAACGTTTGTTTTATAAACGTTTAAGGGGGGGGTTTGCACTATAGGGTCAGGAATACATGTTTGTTTTCCTGACTCTATAGTGTTCCTTTAATATTGGACCTTCTTGTAGAAGTAAAAGGTATATAACTCAGACTATTTCTTTTAATTTTGTAATATACAATTTGTCAGAGTGATACATTTTCTCGAGGAGATGTTAATGAAATACTTGCCTCTGCAGGAATGCTGTCACCACTACTATGGCCAGTCCAAACTCCCCTACTTCGTCATTGGTGCAATTTGGGAACCAAACTTCGTTGCATGTGCATTAGTCAATATGTGCTTATATTCCTCTAGCAAAGTAGGAGGTACGCACGCCAGGTGACATTTGCCTTGGCCCCGAGGGGGGGAGGCATGGGCGATTGTGGAGGAAAGACGCAGGCAGCCGCAAAGGGTGTGAGAAGGCACGCTCCTCCGCCCAGGGGAGTACCTGTGGGGGAGGAGGGGGGACACATCCTCCCCCCCATACTCAACCCCTACCTGCCTGGCCATCCCCTCCACCTGCCCTATCACTGGTACACAACCAGTACACCATCCCCCATGCCTGTAGCCTCTCTCCACAGAAAACAGATCTTTTTTCCTGGCAGCTGCACCTGCGCGGACGCACTGACACTGGGAACAAGGATAGGCCAGAGTCGGGCACTGAGCTAACTAAGGGAAGATGGCCCGGCACACGAGAGCACCAACGACGGCACACACCCTGAGAACAGATAGGGAAACAGGAGGCACAATGGGTCTTGCTGCTCCCCAGCTGACCGATGACTTAGACGGGATGCACCGGAGGTGAGGGGTAGGCCGGGGACAACTGAAACAACAACCCGAACGCAACAACTTTTAACTTTAAGTCCAGGAACCCAGACGCTAATGGGGAGATGACCACTAGAGGAGCTATAATCACAGCAACCCACTGAAACAGGGTCAATATCCCCTAGAGCTACTAGACCAGACACCAGATCACACCCTAATCATAGAACGCACGCCATAAGTGCTGCAAAGTGCGCAATGTAGGCAAGAGGAGTCATGAACCATGAAACCTGATCATATGTTACACAATCTAATGAATATTATGGAAACTATTGAACTACTGTTGGAGAAGCCTGACTGGAGAATGTTTGTAAAAAGGTTACGCATATTGTTAAGATTTTCAGAAATACGAAGTTACAATTGATGTATTATCACATTCACACTATTCTGTGACAAAATGATAAAATAAAAATAAAGATTGTCAAATAAATAAATAATCCTCAAATTCCTGTCAGCTGCTGCCCATCAAAAAAGTAAAATCATGGTGCCAGCTACCCCCTAAAGGGGATGCAGGTCTGCCTTGGGTCCCTTTGCATTCCCTCTGTCTGTGCAGTAGAAGCACACCTCTTCTCCGATCAGTAGTACCCAATGTGTGATTGAATCACAGAGCTCCTCAGCCACGAAATCGAAATGCACATTCTGATACTATGCATTACAGCATCACAGAGCTCCACTGCTATCTTTATGAGCAGGACAAAACACTGGACATAAACACTTCCTGCATCATGACCACTCGTGAAAACATTTTGGAAAATGTGTGGACTTAATACAGGTTATTTGAGGAATTCTGATTCTCTCTACTCTCTGGATTTTCAAGAACGGGCAGCAGCTACAATAAGATTTAAAAAAAAAAAAATGTTTACAATCAATATTTATTTAAAAAACAAACATGGATATATACATATTAGAAAAAAAAATATTACTTATGCGTGCAAACATACACATACATGAAAAAAAGATTAAACAGTAAGTATGTCAATGATCGGAGAGAATCAGAAAAGATTAACATGACCATACATGAGTATTTAAAAAAGGCAACCTACCGATTACAGCGGGTTTGCGGTTTTTCTGTTCGGCACCAAAAGCCTAAAAAAAATGAAAAATATGCAAGTTATTTTAACCAATCAGCATTATCAGATAAAATATACAAATATAAGCAATTTAAAAAAAAAAAAACACATGAGTAAAGGCAACAGGTGACGCTCCTGGGGGGTGCTGGGCTTAGTTCAATGGCTGAGGGAGATCAGCTGATACTAATTGCCAATGCGTGAGCCACGCTCTGCAGGTTTAGCTCAGGAGAGTAATAAACGCTCCAGAGTAGAGATTCAGGATCTCAGTGAGCAGTAGTGAATGCAGGGAGTGGTGTCCAGCATACCTCATGTAAGAAGTCACGGTTCTAAAAGCTTTGTGACGTATTAAGATAGGGGGGAATCTGAAAAAGACAGACACCATAACCACTATAGCACGCAGTAGTGATTAGAGTGTTCAGAGCTTTCCCAGTAAGGTGCTTGTAGCGCACATTTATTTTACATGACAGGCTGAAAACAGGCTACACCTGTAATAAAGGCAACACCAGCATTGCCATATGTATGTTGGGATTACATTAATGCAGTGCGTTCATCAGGAAAGTCTATGTCTGAGGCATCACAGAAAGTAAAGTGCAGCAAAAGACATACAATTTATTTTTAATGTTTTAATACTGTGCTAATCATTACATGCAAAAAATCACTGGTGTGATTTATGTGGAATTGTCACTCTGATGGTGATAATGTAAAAATAATTATAAAAAAGTGCTATGATCACTAGTTACTTGACATTTGCAAAAAATGATATAGAAAATAAGGTAAATAAATTGCAAGACAAATCACTGTTTAGTGATAAAACCAAAATTTGCAAATGTCTCAAAACAAATGTATAAAAATCAATTGTTGAAAAATGTAAATAAAATCAGTAAAAGATAGATTATACTTACAAAAGTGATGAGGCGATTCCTCTTCAAGTGGCCTCCTCTTCTGCTCTACTTCAGCACTTTGACATCTGGGGGTCTTCTCTGGGGTCATATAGTGTAAATTGAGAGATCTTATCAGATCTCACAGGTTAAAGGTTCATTGTATATGTGTACATTGTACTCCATCTGAGCCCAGGAGAGAAGAACTCTGGGTTGTGGACAAGGGGGGGAGCACAAACTTCCATTTAGTTGGATTGGATGCGCATGAACCGTGCGCACACAGTCCTACTCCTCACAGCACTGCCTGTAAGTGACGAAGCTCATTACGTCCCTCCCTGGAATGCAGTGTGTGCCGACAGACTTTTTTTGTACACAGAATTCACATTAGTCAATCCGGAACAGAGCTCCGAGCTGACAGTGTCACATGTGCTGGAGGTGTAACTACACTCAACACAAAATCACCAATATCTCTAAACAGGCAGCATCTCAAGCGGACAAGCTGCACATAAGGAATGCTTGCACCATGACCACTTCTAAAAGCAAGAGTGGTTATGGTGGTTGGAGTTACGTTTGATATCACAGCTAACCTGTATTAAATGAAACCTGATCAATAGTTACTGGTAAATGTTTAGAACATATCTTGCTTTAAAGGGGGACTGTCTCTGCCAAGGATGTTTAATATTAGGTTTATCAATCCCAATATTTAACACATGCAATTTAATGTAGAAATGCACAGGTGTTTATACTGTAGATGGGTGTCGCCATCTTAGCTCCCTGTCATTATAAACTCTGTCGTTGGCACCAGGCAGTCAGCATGGAGAGCTTACAGAGAAGTAGAAATTAATCAGTTTCTATCCATTCTTAACACAGGTCATAAGTGACTTTCAATGTTTTACTCAATGGTGTGATTTCCAGAAATCACCATTTCCCTTGAAGGCAAAAGGCAAACCGCAATAGAAGAAAATCTCAACAAAAAACAAAAAAAAACAAAAACAGTGAATCTCATTTGGCTTTAGAAAACAGGAAACACAGCAAAGTTTCTGATCACTCAAGTATTCCCTAAAGACACGTACCACAGACTATTCAAACTCTTGCACAGCTATCACCATACACAGGAGATCTGACTAAGCCAGGTCTTTTTTGTGCCAACATGTTAATAAATTAAGCAAGAAACATTCAGCCGGGGATTTTGTGTATCTTATAAATAAAAGAGATAAAATAACTTTATTCTAACACATGAGACCTCCGCTACAGTGATGAACGTTCCCAGTACATATACCCATGATAAGCCTCTACACATCTTAGGAGGCTCTGAACATCCTTCTCCAAATTATCTTCCCAAATGCAGCTCGTAAATGAAATAATGAGGGTTCAACTAAATTGGAGGGGGGATAGTGTGCAGGTAACTTTTTTTGTTTTGTTCGATCATGTATTTGGGCTGATAAATACTATATTCAGTGCCCAAGAGTAGTGGGAGTTTGAGTGCTGGGCTTAATTCCATGTGTTAGAATTTTGAGGGTTGCCGATTAGAACCGCAGGCTAAAAAAGTGGGCAAAAAAAAAAAAAAAAAGTAAAAAATACACAATTCCAAGATAAAGTTGTGAGTTAGAAAGTAAGAAAATAAAAATACAACTATAGGTTCTCATAAAACCTTCTGGGATGGATTCATGGTATATGTATTTCTCTCATAGCTTTCTATAGATCGCCTTATTAATTTTTTTTATAAATAAATAAAAAATCTAAGCATTTAATATTTATTGCATATTTTTGGAGGGGGTATGAAACTAGCTTAACATTAGGAACTCTACAGGCACCCAGAAAACAATCTCAATAAGGTGGTCTCGGTGCCATGCCAGTCTTTAATTCTACAATCAGGGCAGGACTAGCACAAAAATTAGGCCCAAGGATTTTAAATTAGAGCATCCCAACAGGATGGGGCACCTTGTGCCATCATTGGTAGGCACTCACCTTAAAGTGGGCAAGTCAGGTCAATGCCCCGTCAGGGAAGCGTGTTTGCAGAGCTCTTCTGAAGAGCTCTCACATGGGCAAAAATGCCCTGTGTTTAATGCAGTGCAAGCTAGTCTAATGATACACTTCTGTGTTTGCTGCTAACTTGTCTACGGTATCCCCATAATTGTGTGAGAGACTGCATGTGGTGTCTGTGGGGTAGGCTACCGTTCATGTGGGCTTGTGTGTGGATGGGGCAATTTGCAGTCCAGTGTGTATCTGGATAGGGCAGTAGTGTATGCGGGTGGTGTGTGGAATGTGGTTGTAGTGTAGTTGTGAATAGGGATTAGACTGTGTGTACAGAGGGGATAGGGACTGTAGTGTGTGTTTGTGTGTTAAGGGACTTTAGTGTGTAGGAGGATACTGCTATACCTTATGTGGGGATTATAGGGTCGGCACTGTGTGAGAGAATACCGGCTGTAATGTTGGGGGATAGGGACTGTATTGAGGCAGGGATAAGGGCTGTGATGTGGGAGGGAAAGGGATTGCACTGTGTCTGGGGGGATAGGGGCTGTAATGTGAGCAGGAGGGAGGACTCAGGGACGTTTGCCAGGATGTCGTGTGTGCTGGTATCAGACTCCAAGTTTGCATAGAATTGATGTTAGCCAGCCCATGCTTGAGTTGGCTAATGAGGCCCCTATGATGCTGCCAGAAGTTAAAGGATCACAATAGGGTCAGGAACACAAACATGTATTACTGACCCTATAGTGCTAAACCCACCATATAGGTGGCTTGCCCCCCTCTTAGCCCTCCGCCAGCACGTGCCCAGCCCCCTTTGTGACATCAAAAGGGACAATTTTTAGCCAATCCAATGCTTTCTCATTGGCTAAAAATCGGCAAGGGGCAGGGCCAAATGCGGTTTTGGCCCATCAGGACCTCCTCATAGAGATGCATTAAATCAATGCATCTCTATGAGGAAAATTCAGCATCTCGTAGGGACGCTGAACAGCAGAGCTGCCTATTGTGCAGCACTAAGTCAGGAAGCACCTCCAGTGGCTATCTGAGGAGTGACCACTTGGAGGTGTTCCTAGGGGCAATGTAAACACTGCCTTTTCTCTGAAAGCTGCATTAAGCTGTAGTTGTTCTGGTGACTAGGTGTCCCTTTAAGTAACACCAGCAGCAGCAGAGGGGTTAAATTCTGTATGTGCAGTATTTCAGACGCATACAAACTACATGCACCGTAACCACTTCAAATAACTGAAGTGGTTGTGTTACTTGGAGTAACCCTTTAAATAAAAAGATTTGCCTTTTTCTGCAGCATAACCTGGTTACAATAGGCCACAATGCCTCTACTCACAAAGAAAGGTCTTTATTAGAAGTATTCCGGGTATATACTCCGCTCAGCCAACGAGAGATCATTGTAAATGAAGCTGCTGACATCACGCCACCCCTCAGCCAGTGCCCTGTAATTATTCACTTAGTATTTCAAAGCCAAGCCAAGGGGAAAGAGTACAAACAATATGAGGGCAGTGATTGGCTATGGAGCAGACTGATGCCAGCAGCTCAGCTCCTGAGTACGCACTAAAAATACCTCAAAGGAAATTGCTTTGTGAAAAGAGATCATGGCTGAAGTGCCCTTTTAAGGCCGAATAAGCCAAACTGAAAACAGAACGGACTTTGAGAATTTTTCTAATAATCATAATAAATAATGTGGCTGATTTTGAAATGCACACTTTCAATTGCCTTAGAATGCAAGCTTGTTTGAGCAGGGATCTCAGCACCTCATATTCCTGTAATCCAACTTGTCTTATTGCAACTACTTGTTAGTTCACTTACTGCCGACTGCGGCAGGATTCGTTGGCATTTTAGAATTAAAAAAAAATTCACTTTGAATTCTCAGTATTTCTTACTTTATTAAATAAACCGATTTGCTCCAAATAGAACGCTGTATGTTTAGGTTTCTGGAGCTATAGCTCAGCTGCTTCTGCAATTCTCAGTTCTAGCTCTCAAGTACGTCCAAGTTAAGGTGCGGACGCGGCAACACACAACTTGGATTAAACTATACTCCAAGAAGAGTAAGCCAAGTACTGATCCATGACTCACTGCCATCATCACTAAACAGAGACTGGACTGATTGTATATGGACAGCAGTCACAGTATGGCTGTGATCAAGACTGACAGTTACGTAATAAAGTGAAAATTCAAAGTGAATATCAAACACAAGGCCACAGTAATCAAACTGAAAGCATAGCGGATTTTGAGAATCTTTCCAGTTTGACTAGTTTGTCCTTCAGTTTGAAATTAACACTTTAGTAAGCAGCCCTGTGAGACTGACTTTCTTCAAGAAACCCGTAACACTGCTTATATGTCATGGTTTGTTTATTTTATTCATTATATAATGTATGTGCATAGTATAATCCTGGCGTAACATTATAGAAGAGCATGAAATAGAATTTATATGTAACAAATCTGCAATATAATCAATTGTTTAATATTAGAGAAGGGAATGCCATAATTTGTGACTGAGCAATATGCACAAGCAATACCAGCAGTGATCATCATTAACCATAGCTGTACAATATGGATTAAACATTGCAGCATTAAAACACAGTTTTACAATATTTCATACCTGTGCAATATGCAGGAAAGATTAAAAACATGCACACAATACTTCCTAGCAACGCAATGTGCAAAAATAATAGCACAGCACGACAAAATCCATAGTTGTGTGATATGTATGAAGGATTGAAGCAGAGCATAACATAATTCACAGCTATGTGATATGAAGAATTAAAACACAGGATGCCATAATCCATAGCTGTGTAATATGTGTGAAGGATTACAGCAGAGCATGTCGTAATCCATAGCTGTGTGATATGAATGAATGATTGAAGCAGAGGATGTTATACTCCAAAACTGAGTAATATGAAAGAAGGATTGAGGAAGAACATGCCATAATCCATAGCTGTGAGATATGTATGAAGGATTACAGCAGAGCATGAAATAATCCATAGCTGTGTGATATGTATAAAGGGCTGGAGCTGTGCGCGAAGGGCTGGAGCTGTGCGTGATGTGCGCGAAGGGCTGGAGCTGTGCGTGATGTGCGCGAAGGGCTGGAGCTGTGCGTGATGTGCGCGAAGGGCTGGAGCTGGGTGAAGGGTTGGAGCTGGATGATGGGTGTGAAGGGTTGGAGCTGGATGATGGGTGTGAAGGGTTGGAGCTGTGTGATGGGTGTGAAGGGTTGGAGCTGTGTGATGGGTGTGAAGGGTTGGAGCTGTGTGATGGGTGTGAAGGGTTGGAGCTGTGCGATGGGTGTGAAGGGTTGGAGCTGTGCGATGGGTGTGAAGGGTTGGAGCTGTGCGTGAAGGGCTGGAGCTGTGCGTGAAGGGCTGGAGCTGTGCGTGAAGGGCTGGAGCTGTGCGTGAAGGGCTGGAGCTGTGCGTGAAGGGCTGGAGCTGTGCGGGATGGGCTGGGGCTGTGTGAAGGGCTGAGCCAGTGAAGGGCTGGAGAGCCAGCGTGAAGGGCTGAGCTGTGCACTGTGTGTGAAGGCTGGAGCTGTGCACTGTGTGTGTGAAGGGCTGTTTCGTGTGTGATGTGCGAAGGGTTGGAGCTGTGTGTATTTAAGCTGGGTTGGAGCTGTGTGTGATGTGTGAAGGGTTGAGCAGTGTGTGATGTGTGTGAAGGGTTACAGTGTGTGATGGTGTGTGAAGGGCTGAGCAGTGTGTGATGTGTGTGTGAAGGTTGGAGCAGTGTGTGATGTGTGTGAAGGGCTGGAGCAGTGTGTGATGTGTGTGTGAAGGGCTGGGAGGCAGTGTGTGATGTGTGTGAAGGGGTTGGAGCAGTGTGTGATGTGTGTGAAGGGCTGGAGCTAGTGTGAAGGGTTGGAGCTGTGTGTGATGGCTGAGCCAGTGATGGGTTGAGCTGTGTGTGATGGGCTGGAGCTGTGTGTGATGGGTTGGAGCTGTGTGTGTGTGATGGGTTGGAGCTGTGTGTGATGTGTGTGAAGGGTTGGAGCTGTGTGTGATGTGTGTGAAGGGTTGGAGCTGTGTGTGATGTGTGTGATGGGTTGGAGCTGTGTGTGATGTGTGTGAAGGGTTGGAGCTGTGTGTGATGTGTGTGAAGGGTTGGAGCTGTGTGTGATGTGTGTGAAGGGTTGGAGCTGTGTGTGATGTGTGTGATGGGTTGGAGCTGTGTGTGATGTGTGTGAAGGGTTGGAGCTGTGTGTGATGTGTGTGAAGGGTTGGAGCTGTGTGTGATGTGTGTGAAGGGTTGGAGCTGTGTGTGATGTGTGTGAAGGGTTGGAGCTGTGTGTGATGTGTGTGATGGGTTGGAGCTGTGTGTGATGTGTGTGAAGGGTTGGAGCTGTGTGTGATGTGTGTGATGGGTTGGAGCTGTGTGTGATGTGTGTGAAGGGTTGGAGCTGTGTGTGATGTGTGTGAAGGGTTGGAGCTGTGTGTGAAGGGTTGGAGCTGTGTGTGATGTGTGTGAAGGGTTGGAGCTGTGTGTGATGTGTGTGAAGGGTTGGAGCTGTGTGTGATGGGTTGGAGCTGTGTGTGATGTGTATGAAGTGCTGGGTGTATTTATTATCCGGTATAGGAGCTTTGCCCAGCTCTGGGTGGGTTCATGTTAACTCTTTCTGTGCTGGTTGTAGTTTGTTTGTCACCTGGTTACCCAGAGCCCCGTGCGAGCTGTCACTTACCATGGACCCCCGGGGGAATCACACTCCTCTCCCGCAGTTTCTCAGGACTCACCGGATATTATCAGCCAGGAATGACAACAGCAATGGTGTTCTATCAGTCTGGTATACTCCGTCAGATTGCTATACCCACGTCACTTCCGGGGAGGGGAATCAGCTGTCTCCTGTGCTGCACATGCGTGCTAGCACTCCTGCTACTCCTCCACAGCAAGGTCCTGGAAGGTAAGTAAAACTAGTTTTACACTTTCATTATAGTTAGTGCATTCACTAAGCTTAGGACATGGGACATTTAGGGTTAATGTTAGGGTTCAAATTAGGGTTAGGATTAGGGACTTGTTCCTATTTAGTGATATTTCACATTAGGGGAATATCACTAAATAGTGATTTCTCACACTTTATTTTAACCCTTACCCCAAGGGTTAGGGTAAGAATAGAGTGTGAGAGAGGTTAGAAGCACTTACCTAACCCTAATTTGTACCCTCACTTAACCCTAAATGTCCCGTGTGCCTAAGCTTAGTGAATGCACTAACTATAATGAAAGTGTAAAACTAGTTTTACTTACCTTCCAGGACCTTGCTGTGGAGGAGTAGCAGGAGTGCTAGCACGCATGTGCAGCACAGGAGACAGCTGATTCCCCTCCCCGGAAGTGACGTGGGTATAGCAATCTGACGGAGTATACCAGACTGATAGAACAGTGGCACTTCCGGGGGCCGGGGGAGGGGGCGCTACCTGGGCAGCGCTATTTCTATGCTTGGTTGGGCTGCGTTAATACAAAGCTGCCACTAGAGGGCAATGTGGATCATGAAATGTGTGTATCCATGGTTACAGGAGTCAACCTTAGAAAACAGCTGATAATCACACTGCTTACTGATATATAATAACTAATACACACACTGCTTACTGATATATAATAAATAATACACACACTGCTTGGTGTTATATAATAAATAATACACACACTGCTTACTGATATATAATAACTAATACACACACTGCTTACTGATATATAATAAATAATACACACACTGCTTACTGATATATAATAACTAATACACATACTGCTTATTGATATATAATAACTAATACACACACTGCTTGGTGTTATATAATAAATAATACACACACTGCTTATTGATATATAATAACTAATACACATTCTGCTTATTGATATATAATAACTAATACACACACTGCTTGGTGTTATATAATAAATAATACACACACTGCTTACTGATATATAATAAATAATACACACACTGCTTATTGTTATATAATAAATAATACACACACTGCTTACTGATATATAATAAATAATACACACACTGCTTGGTGTTATATAATAACTAATACACACACTGCTTACTGATATATAATAAATAATACACACACTGCTTGGTGTTATATAATAAATAATACACACACTGCTTACTGATATATAATAAATAATACACACACTGCTTACTGTTATATAATAACTAATACACACACTGCTTACTGATATATAATAAATAATACACACACTGCTTACTGATATATAATAAATAATACACACACTGCTTACTGATATATAATAAATAATACACACACTGCTTGGTGTTATATAATAAATAATACACACACTGCTTAATGATATATAATAAATAATACACACACTGCTTGGTGTTATATAATAACTAATACACACACTGCTTACTGATATATAATAAATAATACACAGACTGCTTACTGATATATAATAAATAATACACACACTGCTTACTGATATATAATAAATAATACACACACTGCTTGGTGTTATATAATAAATAATACACACACTGCTTACTGATATATAATAACTAATACACACTGCTTGTTATATAATAAATAATACACACACTGCTTACTGCTATATAATAAATAATACACACTGCTTACTGTATATAATAAATAATACACACACTGCTTACTGATATATAATAACTAATACACACACTGCTTGGTGTTATATAATAAATAATACACACACTGCTTACTGATATATAATAACTAATACACACACTGCTTGGTGTTATATAATAATTTATACACACACTGCTTACTGATATATAATAACTAATACACACACTGCTTGGTGTTATATAATAAATAATACACACACTGCTTACTGATATATAATAACTAATACACACACTGCTTACTGATATATAATAACTAATACACACACTGCTTGGTGTTATATAATAAATAATACACACACTGCTTACTGATATATAATAAATAACACACACACACTGCTTATTGATATATAATAACTAATACACACACTGCTTACTGATATATAATAACTAATACAAACTGATTACTGATATATAATAAATAATACACACACTGCTTACTGATATATAATAACTAATACACACACTGCTTACGGATATATAATAAATAATACACACACAGCTTAATGATATATAATAACTAATACACACTGCTTGGTGTTATATACTAAATAATACACACACTGCTTACTGATATATAATAACTAATACACACTGCGTATTGATATATAATAACTAATACACACACTGCTTACTGATATATAATAACTAATACACACACTGCTTATTGATATATAATAACTAATACACACGCTGCTTACTGATATATAATAACTAATACACACACTGCTTGGTGTTATATAATAAATAATACACACACTGCTTGCTGATATGTAATAAATAATACACACACTGCTTATTGATATATAATAACTAATACACACACTGCTTACTGATATATAATAACTAATACAAACTACTTACTGATATATAATAACTAATACACACACTGCTTAGTGTTATATAATAAATAATACACACACTGCTTACTGATATATAATAAATAATACACACTGCTTGGTGTTATATACTAAATAATACACACACTGCTTACTGATATATAATAAATAATACACACACTGCTTACTGATATATAATAAATAATACACACTGCTTGGTGTTATATACTAAATAATACACACACTGCTTACTGATATATAATAACTAATACACACACTGCTTACTGATATATAATAAATAATACACACACTGCTTACTGATATATAATAAATAATACACACACTGCTTATTGATATCTAATACATAACACACACTGCTTGGTGTTATATAATAAATAATACACACACTGCTTAGTGTTATATAATAAATAATACACACACTGCTTACTGATATATAATAAATAATACACACTGCTTGGTGTTATATACTAAATAATACACACACTGCTTACTGATATATAATAACTAATACACACACTGCTTACTGATATATAATAAATAATACACACACTGCTTATTGATATCTAATACATAACACACACTGCTTGGTGTTATATAATAACTAATACACACACTGCTTACTGATATATAATAAATAATACACACTGCTTAGTGTTATATAATAAATAATAGTGATGTCCCGAACGGTTCGCCGAATGGTTCGCCACGGACTCATCATTGAGTAAACTTTGACCCTGTACCTCACAGTCAGCAGACACATTTCAGCCAATCAGCAGCAGACCCTCCCTCCCAGACCCTCCCACCTCCTGGACAGCTCACTAAGAATGCAGCTTCACAATGGATGTAAAATGGATGCTGTCCAGGAGGTGGGAGGGTCTGGGAGTGAGGGTCTGCTGCTGATTGGCTGGAATCTGGCAGTTGACTGTGAGGTACAGGGTCAAAGTTTACTCAATGATGAGTCCGCGGCGAACCGTTCGCGGCAAACCGTTCGCGAACCGTTCGGCGAACCGTTCGGGACATCACTAATAAATAATACACACTACTTACTGTTATATAATGAATAATACACACACTGCTGAGTGTTATATAATAAATAATACACACTGCTTATTGATATAAAATAAATAATACACACTGCTTATTGTTATATAATAAATAATACTCACTGCTTATTGATATAAAATAAATAATACACACTGCTTATTGTTATATAATAAAATAAATAATACACACACTGCTTATTGTTATATAATAAATAATACTCACTGCTTAGTGTTATATAATAAATAATACACACACTGCTTATTGATATATAATAAATAATACACACTGCTTACTGATATATAATAACAAATACACAGTGCTTATTGTTTTATGATAAAAAATACACACTGCTTATTGTTTTATGATAAATAATACACTGCTTACTGTCATTTGGATAAGTATAATAATACACATACTCGATAGACCTATTTGGGAAACAACAACCACAAATGGGCAACTTCACCACCTAATTCTGTTACACAATGACAGTCCTAAACGTGTGCCAAGTCTGTGTTAGGTATCTAAACATGACTAAAGGACCACTCCAAGTACATTAACCACAACAGCACACTACACAGAGCACCCAGCAACTACAGGGAGTGCAGAATTATTAGGCAAGTTGTATTTTTGAGGATTAATTTTATTATTGAACAACAACCATGTTCTCAATGAACCCAAAAAACTCATTAATATCAAAGCTGAATATTTTTGGAAGTAGTTTTTAGTTTGTTTTTAGTTATAGCTATGTTAGGGGGATATCTGTGTGTGCAGGTGACTATTACTGTGCATAATTATTAGGCAACTTAACAAAAAACAAATATATACCCATTTCAATTATTTATTATTACCAGTGAAACCAATATAACATCTCAACATTCACAAATATACATTTCTGACATTCAAAAACAAAACAAAAACAAATCAGTGACCAATATAGCCACCTTTCTTTGCAAGGACACTCAAAAGCCTGCCATCCATGGATTCTGTCAGTGTTTTGATCTGTTCACCATCAACATTGCGTGCAGCAGCAACCACAGCCTCCCAGACACTGTTCAGAGAGGTGTACTGTTTTCCCTCCTTGTAAATCTCACATTTGATGATGGACCACAGGTTCTCAATGGGGTTCAGATCAGGTGAACAAGGAGGCCATGTCATTAGATTTTCTTCTTTTATACCCTTTCTTGCCAGCCACGCTGTGGAGTACTTGGACGCGTGTGATGGAGCATTGTCCTGCATGAAAATCATGTTTTTCTTGAAGGATGCAGACTTCTTCCTGTACCACTGCTTGAAGAAGGTGTCTTCCAGGAACTGGCAGTAGGACTGGGAGTTGAGCTTGACTCCATCCTCAACCCGAAAAGGCCCCACAAGCTCATCTTTGATGATACCAGCCCAAACCAGTACTCCACCTCCACCTTGCTGGCGTCTGAGTCGGACTGGAGCTCTCTGCCCTTTACCAATCCAGCCACGGGCCCATCCATCTGGCCCATCAAGACTCACTCTCATTTCATCAGTCCATAAAACCTTAGAAAAATCAGTCTTGAGATATTTCTTGGCCCAGTCTTGACGTTTCAGCTTGTGTGTCTTGTTCAGTGGTGGTCGTCTTTCAGCCTTTCTTACCTTGGCCATGTCTCTGAGTATTGCACACCTTGTGCTTTTGGGCACTCCAGTGATGTTGCAGCTCTGAAATATGGCCAAACTGGTGGCAAGTGGCATCGTGGCAGCTGCACGCTTGACTTTTCTCAGTTCATGGGCAGTTATTTTGCGCCTTGGTTTTTCCACACGCTTCTTGCGACCCTGTTGACTATTTTGAATGAAACGCTTGATTGTTCGATGATCACGCTTCAGAAGCTTTGCAATTTTAAGAGTGCTGCATCCCTCTGCAAGATATCTCACTATTTTTGACTTTTCTGAGCCTGTCAAGTCCTTCTTTTGACCCATTTTGCCAAAGGAAAGGAAGTTGCCTAATAATTATGCACACCTGATATAGGGTGTTGATGTCATTAGACCACACCCCTTCTCATTACAGAGATGCACATCACCTAATATTCTTAATTGGTAGTAGGCTTTCGAGCCTATACAGCTTGGAGTAAGACAACATGCATAAAGAGGATGATGTGGTCAAAATACTCATTTGCCTAATAATTCTGCACTCCCTGTACACAAAATTACACAAAATTGCTAATGAGTAAACCCCCATTGCGATACAAGTCACTTTTGATGAATTTACTTACTGTTCGTGAGTTGCCTCTATATTAATTGTTTGATGCTTTTTGGGTTCAATTTTTGAGATTTTTTTTTACTTCGCTGTAAAATTAAGTGTTAATGTTCTGTCTTCATTTTGCTCACAATGTCACCTTGTAATAATCTGACTGAATTCTATGGCTGGAACTCCAGGTTACAGGCGACTTGCCACTTGGTGTGGGAAAAGAGAACAATTTGTAATCTTAGCATATTTCTTAAGTTTTACTTTTCCTAACCTCACTTGGGTCAGCAGAATCCCACCAGCAGCGTCCATGTGACTCCCAGACCTCTGCTAGTTATAGCTGTTCCTCATTTTTTAAACCATGGTAAACTTTGCATTCATTCCTGCTATTTTCAGAACTGTTAGTACAAATTCTTATATGCTTTGTGATGTTGGTCATTTTTTCTAACAGTGGCCACACCAGCACACGCTGAACTATTCCATTGTTCTCGTCCGCTTTTTCTCTACCATTTTTTACCACGTGGTTCCCACTTTTTGCCATTGCTGTCACCATTTGCATTGTTTAGTTTCTATTTATTTATTTTATTACTGGCCAACATATTTTGCAAAGCTGTACAATTAGGGGAAAACGTACAATATACACAGATCAATACAAAAGGTGAAGCGAGTCCTGCCCCTAAACTCAGTTAGATAGCCATGAGCTTACAATCTAAAGGGGATTGGAGACAAGAGGTAGCAGGGGGAATTTGGAAGTGACGGCCAAAGGAAGTTAACAGAGAGTTAAAACTACTGGTAAAATTCCTAGGGTGCTTTTTAAGGGGGGCACCAGCAGTGGCTTCAACACCGCCCCTCTATGAAGTTGGATAAATTATGTAATGACGAGTGCTGCCAACCATTATACCAGGGGCTAGGGAACACTTACATGGCTGCAAGTCTAGCTCAGCCCGCAAAGCCAGCTCCTATACCAGATTTCTACTGCGGCAGCGCAAGGACGCATCATTTGCTTGCTCCCCTACCTTTCCCTGTAAATGGGGACAAGTGGGCGGGAGGATAGCAGTGAGTGGGGCTGAGATTGGGAGTGATGCCGACAGGCAGCCAGGCACAGTCAAGATGTGAACAGCAAACTGATATATGCAATGAAGGTAAGAGGGTTAACAGGACCTTGCCATGTGTGTTTCAGAGAATGTGTGTCAGTCTGCTTCAGTGTGTGTGTGTGTGTATCAGCCTGCAAAAGTCAGTGTGTGTTGGTCATTGTGTGTCTACATGGGTCAGTGTGTGTGTCTGTGTTTGTCTGCATGGGTCAGTGTGTGTCAGTCTACAATAGTGAAAGGTGAAATACACGGTGAATGGGTATGTGTGGTAACAATAATTGCTACAAACCACCTGAGTGGGAACCCCTTATACCACTCTAAAGAATTATCAAAAATACATACAGTAGGTGGAACACATGTCTTATAATTCTATAAGGAAAAACAAAATAACAAAATGCACACCGTGCAATAAGATAAAAGACTTAATGGTTAAAAGAAAAGAGTCCAAATAAGTCCAAATTGGTCCAATGTTGGCACTGCCTGATGGCTAGTTGGTCCGATACGTGTTTCACACTAAGGTGGGGGCATACTCAGTCGGTGTATGTTGTGGGGGGCCTCCTTGGCGTCTTTTTAAATCTTGTCTTGCTTGTACTTCCGGGTCCGGATGTCTGCACTTGGAACGCATTGTGTGTTCCAATACAAACGTCATGCGCTCTCAAATTGGAGAGAGTCACCCTCTCTCCAATCTTTCTTAACTAACTATAGAGGGCAGAAGAACAGGCTTTCTGGATTTTGATTATGATGAATCTTAAGTGCTTGGAGACCCTATGGGTCTCCAGTCCTTTTTTAATATTTATTACATGCTCTGATATTCTGATGTTTACACATCTGATGGTCCTCCCAATATATAATAAATTGCAGGGGCATTTCAATATATATATTACCCCTTTTGAGAAACATGTGAGTTGATTCCTGATGGTATACTCTATATTAATGTATTCTTTGATGTTAGTTATGTATCTTTTTTTGCTTTTTGTTGACCTACATACCTTTTTTTTTGTTTCAGGATGCTTTTTACCTTCAGATTTGAGGTACGATGATGGGCACCAAATTCGCACCGAGTTATGCCAACCTGTTCATAGCCTGTTATATAGATGACATATTTTTAATTTGGAATGGTTCCATTCACCTTTTAGAGATGTTCCTGTCTTTTTTAAACAAAAACGATTGGGGTATTATCCTTACTACCACACATAGCCAAACAGACATAAATTTTTTTAGATCTTCAAATTTTTATACAAGATGAACAAATAAAAACAAGAAGCTTTTTTAAACCAGTGGATGCCAATGGGTATATTGAAAAGCAGTTGTCACCACAAACCCTGGCTTAATAACGCACCTAAAGGCCAATTCTTAAGAATTAAATGCAACTGCTCGAATGAACAGGATTTTGCAAGTCAGGCAAAGAAAATAAAAGACCAATTTCTGGAAAAAGGATTTGAACAGACCAAACTAACAACAGCAAGGGAAGAAGTGAGAAACATTCCAAAAGAACAACTATTGGTCTACAAACAAAGTGGTACCAGGAGAATGAGCACAAATGAGGCACCCTTTACATGCAATTTCAATGGTAATAATAAAAAGTGAACAAGGCAATTAAAAAATTCTGGTATATTTTATAAAATGATCCAGTTCTTAAAAATTTTTTACCCACAAAACCAAAATTATATATAGAGGTGCTGCTAATCTTAAGAGATCTCTAGTCCACAGTAGTGAGGGCCCACATATAACAAGACACTTTTTGAATCAGAAGAATGGCTTTTATGGCTGTGGTACATGCTTAGCATGTAGGTCAACAAAAAGCAAAAAAAGACACCTAACTAACATTAAAGAATACATTAATATAGACTATACCATCAGGGATCAAGTCACATGGTTCTCGAAAGAGGTAATATATATATTGAAATACCCCTGCAATTTATTATATATTGGGAGGACCATCAGATGTGTAAACATCAGAATATCGGAGCATGTAAGAAATATTAGAAAAGCACTGCAGACCGATAGTGTCTCCAACCACATTAAGATTCATCATAATCAAAATCCAGAAAGCCTGTTCTTCTGTCCCCTAAAGTTAGTTAAGAAAGATAGGAGAGGGGGACAGGGGTGACTACAACCCCCACCATAGGGCGAAACGGGTATCGGACCTACTAGCCATCGGCATTGGACCAATTTGGGCTTATTTGGACTCTTTTCTTTTAACAATTAAGTCTTTTATCTTATTGCACAGTGTGCATTTTGCTTATTTTATTTTATTTAATAAAGCCTTTTCATATTGTAGAAAGTCTCTTATCTCATCTTTACTCCAGAATTCTTTACTCCAGAAGGCTACACAAGGACCAGCTGGAAGAAGGATGGGGACATCCTATTAAGAGTCCCTCTGTACTACCCATAAGAACCATATGATAAGATTTTGCCCCATGCTTGTGAGTACCTGAAATCCACAATACCTTTACGTTATTTATACTGGCAATATTGCATATTATTTTGTTTTTCCTTATAGAATCATGAGACGTGTGTTCCACTGACTGTATGTATGAGTGTGTGTCAGTCTTCTTGGGTTAGTGTGTGTCAGTCTGCATAAGTCAATGTGTATGCCAGTCTGCTTTAGCCAGTTTGTGCATCTGCATGAGTCAGTGTGCGTCTGTATAAGTCAAAGTGCGTCTACATGGGTCAGTGTGTGTCTGCATGGGTCAGTGTGTGTCTGCTTGGGTCAGTGTGTGTATGTATGTGTCTGCATGGGTCAGTGTGTGTCTGGATCAGTGTGCGTATGTGTGTGTCTGTATCGATCAGTGTGTGTGTCTGCTTGGGTGTGTGTGTGTGTGTGTCTGCTTGGGTCAATGTATGTGTGTGACAAGCGCTTACCTTTCCCCGCCGGTCCCGCGCAGCGCCGGCTCCTCCTCCGATCCTTCCGGGGGGCGGCTCAGCGATTCTGACGCCGGCCGCTCGGAACACGCCCACATTTATGACGCGGCGCATGCGCGCCGACGTCACATCGAAAAAGGCGCCAAAATTCAAACGTGGCCACGCTCCCGGACTTTTTGGGGGCGTGGCTACGAAATTAAAGCCAAAGAACCCACACTATAAAAGGGCAAGCATGACACTTGTCAGATGCTCTAGTGTGGTTCTTGTTTAAGTCCCCTGGTGCTATCTTTTTTCTTATTGTTCTTCCTGGTATTGACCCTTGGCTTACTCTCTCTGACTATTCTGTTTTCTGGTTTCCCGTCACTTGGCTTGGATAATCGTGTGCCCGTCTTCTGTATTCCCTTGACCTCTGGCTATTTCTCTTGACTATTCTCAGACGCTAGTCCGGCCATTCTAAGGTCCGGTAACCGTCTTTCTGTGGGTTTCACGCTGTGTGAAGGGGTCATTGTTGTGACTTTGGTCACTGTCGTGACATTACACTAGGGCCATGGACCCTGCAGGTGTTAACCCTCTCGGACCGGCACCTGATGACCGGTTTGAAGAACTGGACCATCGTATGGACCAGTTCGCTATTGCGGTACAAACCTTGCTTGCTCGTACTGCCCATCTCCAACCGGAGGAGCAAACCCCAGTACTCAGACCTCAGGAACAACCCATGGAAATGGGTACTCCTAATCATGCTACCTCTCCTCTCTGTTACGGGGGTGATCCTAAAGGCTGCCGTTCAACCTGTCCTAACCGGCCGGAAAACTCCCGCACCTAAGCCCTCATGGAGGACAGGCCTTGGGTGTAATGTGTATGTCCTCCTTTAATGATAAAAAAGACCATAGGCTTCTTCTACCTATTGTTATCGAGTGGGAAAAGAAAAAAGTACCAACCATTGCCTTAATAGACTCTGGGGCGGCCGAAAATTTTATTGATCATAGATTCGGTCAGGAACATGCTTTCCCATTTCAGAATAGATCAACACCCTTGGCCATTGAGGCCATAGATGGTAGACCATTATCTATCCCGTTCAGGGCCGGACTGGGAGAAAAATTCGGCCCGGGCATTTTTTTAACACAGCGGCCCACTAAAAAGGGGGCGGGGCATAGGAGGTGTGTTTTGTCATCACCAATGACAAACACGCCTCCTCTCAAAGTGAGCATGTTGGTTCAATGCTCTTCCAGGGCAGACCATGCGCAGAGCTCTGCTGAAGAGCTCTAGCATGAGAAAAAAGTCCTGTATTTGTTCTGCACAGTGCAAGCAAATTTAATAACATGCTTGCACTGTGTTTCCTTGCAACTTGTCTCTGGTGTCTCTATAAATGGATACCAGGAGACAAAAGGCCAGGAAA